ATGAGAAGGTAGTGTCAAAATAATGACGCATTTTTAATGTCAGTTCTGAAATACTATACAATACTATACAATACAGCAGAGGTGGCCAAAGCGTCGACCGTGTAACTATAGTAATATCTCCCCGATTCGCGCTAAGTGTTAATGCTTGTTAGTACTTCTTGTGAGCTTCGAGCTCTGTAGAATTTTGCACGTCGTGTGCCGTCCGATTACTAAGTCTCTTATGTATTTCGTGAGTCCCTTATGGTCTCACGTATCTCTCACGATGTCTCTAGAGTCCCTTGTGGTCTCTCTTGACTCTCGTGTATCTCATGATTCCCTTGTGGTCTCACGAATGTCTCTTGTATTCCGGACCGTGTCTCTGACGACGTTTCTCTCCCTAGAGGACCGGGGTCATCCCTAATATTATCTCGGTCCTCCCTACTCTTCTTGACCTAGAGTGGGCGGCAAGGAATTACGACCCAATCACTGCAGTCCCAAATCCAATGAGACTACCCCAAAACGGTGGGCCGGGAGTTACCAGGGAGAATTGCAAACTAACACCTGCTAAACATACCGCGCTGATGAGCCTACATGCCCAAACAATGCCACACCCAACCGTAATTGACTGGACCGTAAACAAGGATTAGGAGACGTTATGACGGGGCTGCACGTGCCCGGGAACGGCTAAAGACAGACCCATACCGTCGGGGTACCCAAGTACATGGCCCCTGCCATAAATCCTGGCCACTTGGCTGCAACATACCGCCCACCTTAAACTAACCCACTTCAATAACAATTAATTGTAAAATTGGCCGTGGCTCAATGCGGTATTCGATCCTTTGTGCTCGTCTTCGAGAGGCAGCATGCAAATCTTGGTGGTGGGCCTCTTCAATGTCCCCTGGGCTGTACGGAGGGCGACCATCCTGCAGACGCCATCCTGTCCTGGATGCAGCTCACATATGCGATCCAGGGTCCACTTCTGGGGGGGGGGGGGAAGGTTGTCCTCCTTGATGAGAACCATGGCACTGACCTTGGGAACAACAGTGGATCCCTGGCTCCATTTCCGACGTTGCTGGAGCCCGTGCAGGTATTCCTGGTGCCAGCGCTTCCAGAAGTGCTGGACCATCTGCTGTGACAACTGAAACCTATTCAGCCAGTTTCGCGGGGTGTCGAGGAGATGGACATGAGGCAATGCCGTCATCGCCTCTCCCACCAAGAAGTGACCAGGCGTCAGTGAGTTCAGGTCAGAAGGATTGGAAGACAAAGGATGGAGGGTACGGGAATTAAGACAGGCTTCAACCTGTGTTAGTACCATACACAACTCCTCAAATGTGAGCCTCTGCTCGCCTATCACACGTCTTAGGTGCGTTTTCTGAGAACGTATGCTACGATTCGCAACAACATGCTGTAGCATGACTGCTCTTCAACCAGTTTCAAGACTGGGTGTTCCGGGCTCACCGAGGTCGTCTATTGAACTAACTGAACCGATCGCGCTTCTGGTATTTCCACGGTGGATACCTTGACCTCACTACGGGGCCAATCTCGTTCCTCTGATATCAACCAGTCGGGGCCGTGCCACCACAACTTATTGCCCTTCAGAGCTGTGGGACTCGCACCGAGTGACAAAAGATCCGCGGGGTTGGCAGACGAGATGACATGCGCCCAACTGGTGATTTCAGTCAACGTTTGCACTTCAGCAACCCTATTCGCGATGAATGTTTTCCACCTCGACGGGCTGTCCTTGAGCCAGACAAGAACCACCTGGCTATCGGTCCAGCAGTGAATCCTCAGCGCCTTGATTTTTAAGGCTTCTCGAGCCCCCGCCATTAGCCTAGCTAATAAAACTGCACCGCACAATTCTAAACGCGGCAGACTAACTGTTTTCAACGGTGCACCTCGGGACCCATGAACCGTCACTTGCCCGGGAGCGCAGGTATACGGCAGCCCCGTACGCTCGCTCCGATGCGTCGGAAAACCCGTGTATGGCTACATCCCGCTGTACCTGCAACACGCGGCAGCTGAATCTCACCGCGAAACCCTTCCCACTGAGCGTGCAAGGAGTGGGGCAAGCTTTCGTCCCACCCAAGCCGATGTCCAAATCGGAGTTCGTCACAGCGTGACACGATCTTGCCCTATGCCGCGACGTCGGACGTGGTAGCCCACCACCTAACACCCAACCGAGCAGCGTTTTCTGCCACATCGGGTTCCCCACGCCTACCCTAATACGGCCGATGCACAACAGGTCCCAAAACAGACCTGCACCAATTAATAAGTCGATAGGACCGGTGGTCTGAAAATGGGGATCGGCCGGTAGGATCCCTGGAGGTGTTGTGATCCTGATGTTGTTCAACGCGACTTTGAGCAGCTCTTCAGTGATGGTGCCCATCACCAAGCACATGAGTGCCGACTTAGCCGACCGATCGGGTAGATCTACCCATTTTCAAGCTAGTCGGTGGCCGACCGATCGGGTAGATCCACCAATTTCCAAGCTAGTCGGTAGCCGACCGATCGGGTAGATCTACCACTTTGACCTGAGGAACGCTTCTTTCTCTATAGAGCTTCTTATTTCTAAAGAGTACAACATAATTATAATAACATGCACTAATTTTTGAAGTCTTTTATTGCCCATTATTACGGTTCTTTATGTTCGGGATTTCCGAAGGTGCCTCTACCAGCCATAAAATTATTTTATCGGAACACTTAGCCGATCGATCGGGTAGATCTACCACTTTGACCTGAGGAACGCTTCTTTCTCTATAGAGCTTCTTATTTCTAAAGAGTACAACATAATTATAATAACATGCACTAATTTTTGAAGTCTTTTATTGCCCATTATTACGGTTCTTTATGTTCGGGATTTCCGAAGGTGCCTCTACCAGCCATAAAATTATTTTATCGGAACACTTAGCCGATCGATCGGGTAGATCTACCACTTTGACCTGAGGAACGCTTCTTTCTCTATAGAGCTTCTTATTTCTA